TACATGAAGCTTGCATTCTGCTAGAATATATTATTGCTTCTGGCTGCTACTAGATGAATCCTCTTTTCCAAATCCAAGGCTGTATCCACACTGCAGAAGTAATCCAGTTTGACATTGCTTTAACTGCCATGGCTCAGTGTTATGGAATTCTAGGAACTGTAGTTTGTTGTGACACCAGAGCTTTCTGACAGAGAAGGCTAAATGTCTCACAAAACTACAGTTCCCAGGATTTTGTAGCATTGAGCCATGGCAGTGAAGATGGTGTCAAACTGGATTATTTCTGCAGTGTGGATGCAGTCCAAGTCTTATGCATGTGAAAAAGAGACAGAGTTTTGACAGCCCAGCACTCTATGCAATGTGTCTCTTGTCTTGTCTTGTGGTGAGGTGTTAGCCTTTATTATAGTGTGTGTGGGGGGGGTATCCTAATTTCAGTTTTCTAGTACTGGGGTTGTATAATAATAATAATAATAATAATAATAATAATAATAATAATAATAATAATAATAATTTATTTTTATCCCGCCCCTCTGCAATGCAATCGTGGCGGCTTACAACATTAAAAACATCCATAATACCACAATTCCCTAACCCACCCTCCCTTTAAAAAGTATTAAACTAGTCAATTATTAAAACACAAGATACAATAAAAACCAAGTCAAACAAGAAGAAATAACACAGCGAGTTGAGTGGTTCGATGGCAGCTCTGGGGACTGGTGGCCGAATCCTAGGGCCAGGAAAACTAGTCAGGGAAGGCCTGCCGGAAGAGATCCGTCTTGACGGCTTTTTTGAAGCTGTCTAGAGTGGAAATAAGATGGATCTCATCCGGCAGGCCATTCCATAATCTGGGAGCAACGGCAGAGAAGGCCCTCTGGGAGGTCACCGACACCCTGGTTTTCATAGGTTCCTCATTGAGTCAAAATATACAAGTCATCAAAATTCCTCATGATAAGACAAGAGTCGGGGAGGTTGCTAAATCCAAAATTTGGATAAATTTAGGTAAATTTGGATTGGGTCTAAAGCAGATTGGATCAGCCCAATTTGGATGCAAATCAAATAAGCCTGATCCAAAGTGATTTGAGTCTCTTCCAGACTTGTCTAAAAAAAAAAAATATGAGTTCTTGCAATAAAGCTCTTTGCATTTTGGTGGGTTGTGCCCCTCTCTGCATCCACTTATTCCATTCTAAGGAGTACTGTTGTAATGATTTTTGGGATTTGCCCATGGGCATTTCTAGAAGCTTTACAAAAAAAACTGGAGACATCGTTTGCAGAGGTGATGTTACGGTATGAAGGGTAAATTTTCTCCTCCTTTAAATCCTGCCCACCCACACCCACCCCAAAGGTATAATGTTATAAAGCAAAAGTGCCAATTCACTGTAACTCTGAGAAGATTACTACATGTGCAATTAGAATCAGGAATATATATATATATATATATATATATATGCACACAAAGAGCAGGGAGGCAGGGTTAAGAGAGTGCAATGGTGACATTCATACAGTTGCAAAGAAAGTGCAAATTTTGTGCACATCTGTGTGTTTTTTTTTAAATGCCAAAAATTATCACTCTTTTAATTTCCAAGTGAAAGTTGGTGAAGACTCACATTTCCAAATCTCATTTGAGAATCATGGTCCAGTCAACTGAACCAAATAAGGACCCAGCCTCAGCCCTATTTAGTCATTGAGATAGTTCAACATTATGTGTGAAATAATGTAAATGTTTAGTTTATATATTGAAACTTGCTTTGAAGGAGTGATGGAAAAATATATTTTCTTCAGACTTCTTTCATTATCTCTTGTAGAGCGATAGATTTTTACAGTGCAATCATTTACTCTGAAGCAGACCTCACAGTGTTCAGTGAATCCTACTACCAAGAATGGCTGTCTATGATTGAAGCTGAAAATGAGTTCAGTCAAATTTAATCATATTTAATCTAAGCTGATGCATATAGGATTACAATATTACTCTGTTATTGAGTACCATAATTTAAACAATAACAACAACAACAAATGATTGTATCATTATGCTTTCATTGTAGGTATCAGGAGTGTAAACTCATGGACACCTCTTTAGGTAGTCTACTATGGACCAGATCTGTGACTAGGAACTCCACATTCTTGGTCTCACAAATAATCCTTTTACTTCAAACCGTGCCTTGAAAGGCCTGCTTTCCGCATTTTTCTCATCATCCTGCTGCCCTTCAGTACATATGTAGGGATTTCCATGCAAACAGAGCTGTCTGCTGTGTGGTTCATTCAACAGTTCCACAAGCCTCGATGTGTGTGTGACCTTCCTGTTTCCAGCCCTCCCTTGGGAACCAGCTGATTAAAGAGAAGACTGACCGATTGTGCTCCTACCCAGCTGTCTCCCAGGAATGAGAAAGACAATGTAGGAGAGGTTGCGCACAATATTGCCATTGTTAAAGGTTGCCCAACTGTAGCAGAAGCTTCTGGACATATAAATGGTTGCAGTTTCCTTAATATTATTCTCCATAACAGCATGAATGAGATTGAGAGATTTAAAAGCCACGCCAACGGAGCTGCTGTATCAGCAAGAATACAGAAGGGTGCTCCAAACCACCCATTGCCGGTGGAATAAGAAAGCCTGTGATGTTGTGGGTCTATCACAATTAATCACACAGGAGCCACATGAGAGGGCTGGACTACTTTGTACCATCAGCAAGGGCTGGTTCTTCCCGTAGTAACATAAAAGAATAAATCTGGTGCCTGACTCACCATTGGATTGACGTCAGCAGAACTGGAGATGACTCAGAGCTTCTAACTCCAGTCCTTAGCTTCCAGTAAAGCTTGCTTCTGGAGGCAGATTTAGTATAATTAGACATAGGTGCAGGAACAGATGTGTTCACATATACATTATACCTATTTAGCCAGCCCAATAGCAACAGGTGGCTATTCACACTAGTCTCTTGAAGGCTGTTCCAAAGATGTGCAATTCTACCAAACTTGTAAAGTTTCAAGGACTGCCCTGGTGTGTCTACCATTCAAAGACCAGAGTAAGAAGGTTCTCCCCAGTAAATGAACTGGCCACAGCAACTATGAAAGCACTGACACTGGAACAGTTCTGATCTGCACTGATGGAGGAACTATACACACCAGTTAAATCATAGATCTTACTCCTTTATTTATTACATTTTTAATCTAACCATTCCGCTTAACAAGTGCTCAAGATGTCTAGCAACTGTCACAAAAGCCAAATTAAAGAATGAAACCCAATTTATTGCAATAATAGATCATTAAGGTATGCATATATATAATGGCCTACACTACTGTGTATAGACGTTTCTTTCTGATGTTTCTGCTCTTCTTGGAGCAGCAGAAAACAAGATAGATCCATCCTCAATATGACATCCCTTCAAACAGTTAATCAGGGCTATCGTATCTCCTCTTAA